TTCTTTGATTTCATATTCATATACTATATAACTTATTACATTCCTTAACTGATTGTTACCTAATTAACTTTCTGTTCCATCTTATCATTCAAAAAATCAAATAACACTCCATTGATTGCTATTGAAATTCAGTATTATACCAAGAACCACAAATACGTCGCCCTTTCAAAACGTAGATATATTTAATATAAATTTAAGCAATTTGTATCATTTTAAATCGTGTATTATTATAGATTTGATGCAAATTTCAAATTGTTTTGTTTTTATTGTAAATATTTTTAAATTTATATATAGCTAAAAACTTTATATTTTTATTTTATACAATTGTAATTGAAAAATCGTTAAATAAATAATGCAAAAATATCTATAAAAGTGAAGCTTTACCATTTCCGGATTGCAAGTGTGTCCTGATAATTACCTGATGGTTAATATAATTATTTTTTAACTTATTTATTATTTTATTATTATTTTTTGGCATTAGCATATATGGCTTTATCGAAATAAAAATTTCTCCGATCAAATCCCTTCTTACAGCCAATTAATGGAATTTGTTGTCAATCGAGTTTGTATTTTGGAACTGTCGGACTGTAGAACGGCCAACTATTCGGTGCAACTCAAAGACTAAATCCCAAGACGTATCCTCGCCTAAAGTTAAAGATGCAACACGGCTTCCTCACAATTACAAGTTTTTGTTTGTCCGTATTGCGAAGGTACATATTACACCTTTTATTCAATTGGATACGTTTTGGAAAGTTTACGGAGATTACAAATATATTTTTTACGCACTAACCAGAGTTATTTCAATTGTTTGGGGAATGGGACCGCGGCTTCCGACTAGATTTTGCCATGCTGGTGTTCTGTTCAAATACGGCACATCCTGTTTTAAGGTGTGTTTTGTAATTAGAAACCAAGTTATTTTAAGCTTTAAAAAATAATGTAGTTCTCGTACAAAACCCCACAATATTCCTAAATCCAACCCCAGATATGCATCTTGATTAATTTATGCTAACGATGTTAAATCGGCTGTTGTATTTCGCTGTTTTGAATCCTGAAATTGACATAATTCGTTGCTTTTTTTTCCTTTGCCGGCATAAAAATGCATTCATAACACAGGTTATGAATATGATTGAAACAAAGAACAGAATAAACAGAAAAACAGACACCGATGTGCGAATAAATATACGACAGTTTAGAGGTAGAGATAAGAGAGTTAAGGTGTGAATAAACTGGTGAGTCTCTGGTCAGAAATTTCTCCCGGGAAACCTGCATAAGATGTTAGCAAGGTATTGTGAAGGATGGTAGGTTGTATTAGACTAGTTTGGAAGGTTTGTTAGAGGCATTGTGTAAGCAAGGCTTTATCTAAGGGATTTCAGCCCTATTGAATAGGAAGAGCGAGGTTATTCTCCAATCAATCACTGCGGGTTTGACTTTTAAATTATACGAATATCTTTGCACGGACAGGGTAAGAACACTTGTCGAATAGTACGTTGAAAATTAATTTGGTAATCAAAACATTTTTCTATTTACGAGATATATCGAGTTCTCAATACATGGATACAAACTTTTTATGAATTTAATTTTAACTTAATTTGAGGATAGAAAAACATTTTGGAAAAATCAACCCAAAATTTCCGTTTTGTCTACATATTAAACTTGTTTCTATAAAAACCCTATTAATGAAACTAATTTGTAAAAAATGCATTAAAACAATAAGAAGAAGAAACCTACTTTTACATAATTATCTCATAGTACTATTTTTTATTTTTTTTATTCATTTTATTGCAGTTCAAACGCGTCAAATGAACCAAAACTGAACAGTCAAGAGCACAAAAAACATACGAATTTACAATTTAAAACCTTAAGATTACATAAAATTAATAGAATTACAATTAGATAATTACTGTAATAGATAACAATAAAACTTGAGTGCAATTTTATGTTATGTGTACGCAAAATAAATGACTAAAAAAATTTAAATTATGCAGTTATTAATATGGTAATTTTGTGATGAACTCAATGTAAAATACGGTGTAAAAATTACAATTAATTAGAAAATCTATGATAAGGGATAAATCGACGAGCATCCGCGGATAAACTAAGCGCATAGATCCTCCAAGAATGCCACGCCGCCTTTATGGTTCTGCTACTGCTTTACACTCTGATATGAATAAAAGTTGTTGAGGGGAGTCTAAGCTGACTCATATAACCGAAACTGGGGATCCCTAAGAAGGATTTGATGTGACACTTCTTCTTGGAACTTTTTGCATTGAAGGTTCCCATAGTAAAAACATATTGAGCCATGTGATTAAATGAGGATTTCCCCATTTTCTATTTAAATCATAATATATTTTTAACGAAGAAATACAATTTAAATTATATGTGGTTCATGCAGCAAATAATGATCATTTAAATAGTAAAAATGTAATCACGATCATTGTGAAAATGTAACTCAAATAAATATATAAAAGTTTTACGGAAGTAGTGGATAGATAATTCAGCCCTCGACGTGAAATGAGCCAATTGTACATTTTGTAAAAAAAAGTAATTCAAATAAATAATATAAAAGTTTTACGGAAGTAGTGGATAGATAGTTCAGCCCTCGGCTATGGATGAAGGGGTCTCTTTTGCTAAGAACAGGGATTTACAAAGCAAACAATAGGATTAAAGGAGAGTTTACGCTTGGAATGTTCTGAACCTAGGGAGTCTGAAAGGAAGGGATAATTCTCAGGGATTCAGACTGGAGGTCCGTGCAGGTTGGTTGAGCGAGGATCAACTTGTCAAGGTACTCCAAAGGATATTAAACCGAGATGATATCCAGGAGACAGCCTGACTGACAGTTGAACGATCCTTTTATATTATGGCATTAATACCTTGTCATCTTTTAATAACCATTAAACTGGAGTTAGTTATGGTCGAAGGTTGGTTTCTTGGTGAAGAATATGATAAATATCACCTCACAAAAGAATACTGTGATGCAGTGTTACATTGAGCACATACTGAGGTTTTCAACTACGTAAATTAAAATTTTCAATGACAATATAAAGCAATGCATATAATACAATAATAATGCTTTATTTTTTGTATATTCTAAAGTTATGAGAGTAGAATTTTGTTTAGACGTCAGTGTTATGCAAGGGCAACAAAGATCAATAGATGGTCTGGCCAAAAATTTAGCGAAGTTTGGACAAGGTTGGCAATCATTAAGAAGAACATTGAATGACGTTTTTTGTAGGTTTACATATATTGTTTTAGAAAAGTTGAGAAACTCAGTCATATTACTATAGACATTAGCTGTGGGTATACATTATAGGTATGTAAGGAAGAGGAAGGTTAATAAAATGAGGACGTTGTATGGACTCTGAATATAAAGAGAACGAAAAAAATTCAAGTATAATGGATGGGTTCTCGATTGAATTTTGGGTCAAGATCAGTGTGGATATAGAATCGGCTGAATTGCTAGTATGTATATTTAATAAGCTATTTAGTTGATGATATTTTCCTCAAACATGTGGTACAGGTCTTATAGTGGCTTCTGAAAGAGATAAATAGTTTAAATGGCTAAAGAGGAGTTACATTGTACCAACGTTAAGTAAAGTGTACATGAAAATTTTGCAGGACAGGTTAAAAGAATTTAGATCTAATAATTACAACTGATATCATGTTTATATTAGACACAATTGTTAAGTATGATATCTGCATTAGAATGGGGAACTTGTTTCTAGCTTTTATCAACATGGAAACGCCTTCGAAAGAGTAAGTAGAAATATTTTATGGTGAATGGGCGTTTATAAAACATAATTAATGCAATTTTTAAAATAAACAAACATGTCAAGATAAATATAAAAACGAGGGATAATTTGCTTTTGGAGTTCATTCAAATGGACGAGAAATTACACAATCGCACTAACCGGAGGTAGACAAGTGCTGTAAACTTTCACCTATAAGCTTAAACAACCAGCGCAACTCTGACTGTTGAAGCCCTTCAAAATTGTTATTCCGGAAATCAAAGGAAGCTGGTGAAATCTGTAGTTTCTTGTAGATGAATCAATGCTTTGACACGTGCTTAAATATCATTACGTTGTTTTTCGTTAATTTTACTTAAAGCGACAGACAAGTACTCAAGCCACTCACAAATATTTTCTACGGAAAAAGAAACGATTGAATTGAACTTTCAAACAAAGACTTATAATGGATGAACCAATAGATATTTGACAGAATTATATGCAGTGCAGTAATTTTTGAAGATTTAAGGTGTGGTGATATCAGTACTTTTACGACAGAGGAGAGTTAAAGCTTGAGGGTATAGGCAATGACAAATCAGCAGTTTCATGTATTCAATGTACATACCATTTCAATGTATATAAAAGTTGTTAGGAGTACTAGAGGGACTAAATATGATGATGTTTCTTATGAAATTTCTTTTTCTAATGCCTCGAATACAAATTACATTTAGCAATCAGACCGCGGTATTACCTCGTTAAAACTATTAACACACTGATAAACTAATTAGCTGGTAGTTTAAATGTCGTTTAAGTCCTTGTTTGTGTAATCCTTGTTGAATTTACAGAGAGACTCCATTATAATACTGTATTGTTTTTTCTTTTTTCTGAGGGAATTTTATCATCTTTGTTTTCTTTTGGATATGTTTCTGTATGTTGAACACTCTTCTCCTAAAGTGTTGGGTTCATTGTTTTCACTTCAGTGCATGTGCACACGCACACACACACACACACACACACACAACCGTATACTATAGAATCCCTAGCTCTAAAACATGTAAAACAAATACAGTTTGAGAATAGTAGAAATAGAGTTTTTAACTTTACAAAACGGGAATGTTATTTAAAGTTTATAGCCTAGGTTTCACCTTGCTTATAAGCTAAGAATTAAGTTTAAAATATTGGCAATTGCGCGTGAAAATGGCCAACGTTTTTATTTTAAACGAATAAGTACATTTGGTATTATTTTACATGAAAATTAGCATTTTATTATTGTTTCAGGACAAGTGCCAATGGAATATGAGCCTGAATTTTTAGAAAATTTGGAAAATCATACTGTCACGCAGGGAAGGGACGTCAGCTTTACTTGTGTCGTCAACCACTTAGGATCGTACAAGGTGAGGATAAATGCTTACTTTAATTCAAACAATTTACTAACTTTATCTAAATTAATTTTCTTAGCAACGATGTTACTTAATCAGCCAGCTCTCTTTCTCTTTCTCTCTCTCACACTCTCACACTCTCTCACTCTCTCTCTCACACACACTCTCTCTCTCTCTCTCTCTCTCTCTCTCTCTCTCTCTCTCTCTCTCTCGCTCTCTCTCTTTCTCTCTCCCTCCCTCCCCCTCTCCCTCTTCCTCTCTCTCTCGCCCTCTCAACTCATTCTCCTTGTACCCCTACTTCTCTTTACTAACTTATCACCGTCAAAAAAATTTTCTCTACTATTTATTAGATTGAATTCGTTATAACCTTTTCCAACATGAAATCATGGAACTGCTTATTTATTCAAAGGAACATGGAACCACTATCTGGGATCCATGGCTACACTTGATAACAGGATGAATGTGGTGGAAAATCGATAACGCACATAGCGATCGTCTTAAATTTTTGTACAAGAAATTCCATCCAATTTAAGGAAAATAAAAAACACAGCTCGGAATGAAATATGAATACTTGCAGTAATAGTATAAAACACTTTTTCAACACATTGAAATAATAAATTAACTATACTTTAAAAGCAGTTATCAATTATCTCGTATGCAATCAATGCATTAACATTAAAAGTAGTAATAATTATTAAAGTCAGTAGCCTATATCTATGCAGTGTTCCTTATTCCTTTAGCCATTTCATAAAGCTTCGTTATCAGCCTAACTTCTGAGTTTTCGGAGTTTGGTTCTGTCTAATTAGTAATACTAATCAACCTTACATAATCTAAGGGGGAGGTGATTTTAAAGTTGCATCGATCGCTAATAAATTTACGTTTTTAATACATGATCTTTACGTGTTTCGTTTGCAGGTGGCATGGATTAAATCCGACTCGAAAGCAATTCTCGCCATACATACACATCTCGTTGCTCACAACAATAGACTTTCGGTGACTCATAATGGCCACAACACATGGAAGTTGAAGGTTTCCAATGTACAAAAAAACGATTCTGGAACATACATGTGTCAGATTAACACAGACCCAATGCGAAGTCAGGTAAAAGATAACTATATAGGCATATATTTTATTCGCCTTTTTTTCTACAAACCTGCGTTTTTTATTATTTGTTTAAATTGTCATTTTGTAACTTACTACAATAAAGTCAAGCTCGCTAACTCACAATAACAATTTTGAAAAATTATTTAAAATGGTGCAGGCAAATTGAAAAGTAAATGCGCCTGTTCGTTAGACGATTTACGAGATTTTTGTCATTGTTTTTGCCACTCGGGATCGCGGTTGGTAATTGGTCAGCATCTGGAACAAGTTGCCGGCGCCAGACGGGAAGATACCCCAGGACTAGCCACTTTTAATTATACAGTTGTCTCTGAGTGTGCCGCTAACCACATCCCTCTGATGTACTGTAATCGACGCAACATTGCTTTTGTCTTTGTGACAGTCCTGGGAGCAGAGGCGCTCGCCCCTGATCAGCCCTTCGTTGTAATTCTTATTTTCGTGTATATTACGTTACTATTAATTAATTAAACTGTTGTTTATCTGAATAACAAAATTGCGATGCCACAATTCTAAAAAGAAATATTTTCTAGATGGGTCATCTCGAGGTTGTGATTCCCCCAGATGTCCTAAATGAAGACGGTGGGGACGATCACGTTACCACGGAAGGGGGTAGCATAAGACTGAGATGCAGAGCCACTGGGATTCCAGAGCCCAAAGTTACTTGGCGGAGGGAAGATTCGAGGAATATCATCATCCGCCACGATGGATCTTCAAAAGAAGGTGCTTGCCTATGCCAAACCTTTCTTTTTTTTAACTCAATTAATATTTTGTAAATAAAAAAATTCTCCAGAAAGGTAAAGAAAAGTCTTCGAGTTAAATTTCAATTTTGTGTGAAAATGTAAGCTTCTACCTTTTAAGTAGAAATCTTAAGTAATGCTTCCTAATGTTTAACTCAGTTTGGAATCGCCCCGCTCATGCCTTTTATTAAGCTACCAACCCAAAACCTCTTCGCCAGGTCGCGAAATGTTATTATCAGCTAGTTAGCTAATATCTTCCATATTCTATGCTGTTGTTTAGGGATGGTTAGCTAAAATCTTCCATATTCTATGCTGTTGTTGTGCTCAGGATTGTCTCTCTCCATAGTGAAATTATACATTGATGACGAGATAATATGAATGAAGATACGGTAATATATGGCGTTTACCCGTTTTTGGAATCTATTAGGACACAAGGGCATTAACTATCCTGATGAGCCGTTAGATTGTTTATTTGTTTTTATAATCATATTACAATATTTACAATATGTATTACTAAAAATGCATTAAATCCCCAGTAAATGTATGTTAAGAAAACAGTGTGAAGAAATGTTTGGATTGATATCATTATAACCGTTCCAGTATTCTTACTCCTGCATGTTTCGTAAGACAGTGCCGTTATCATTGTTTATAGAATTTGTTTCTTTAAAAATCAGAAAGAAAAAATGAGAAAGAAATTACATGGTGGTGTCGCATGCCAAAAGAAGTAAGGTTAGGGGGCTTATGTTTTGTTATGCGTTTAGTTTGTTGTCAGCATTAATAATTTCATTAATTGATGAATCCAAACGAAGTTGTTTTTAACATGGCCATTTTGGTTCAGCTACGAATTTTGCTTACTCATATAAAATCCAGAGAATATCAGGAGAATAAAAAGATAGGAAGAGTTTATCAGACCGATATGAGGGTAATCAGTCGGTTCATTCGAAGGGAATACATCAAGTTGTAGCAGGGAAACGACCACTCTCCTCCTTAGTGTAAGTGGTACAAGCCCCTCACTAAAGTCGCTACCGAGCATGTAATTATTCTATTTTCGCGAAACGTTCCCGTATACTAATCACCATGAAACATTTTATATGTTTTGGTTTATTTCAAAAGTAAAAATCTGTGGAAGTATGAAAATATTTTTATGAGTAATGAGAAATAACACCCACCCTCCTACCAGCCTTAAGTTAGCACTCCCCCTTCCCCTCTTATTCAGTAATTACACAGTTTTGCTCTAAAAGGATCCACCCGTCCCATCTCTATGCATGCGAATTACCCCATTACGACCGCCTACCCCTCTTTTACCGTTCTGCCCGGATTTGATTTTATTGCTTACTTAAGAAGACGAGAGAAGGGAAAGAAGATGTGCAGTAGTCATAATTATTTGTATCTTTAAAAACAGTGGATAGCTGTATCTCTAAATATTAACCGTGGTTTGGGTGGGATCATTCAGCCAGAAAGAATTATATGTTTCGTCACCTTTTTTCAAAAGTAAAAATCTCTAAAAGGATGAAAATTTTTATTAGTAATTTTAGTATTAGTAATAATCATTATTTTTACACAAAGTGTCGAAGTGTTTAGCTCCTGTTTCAGTGTCTGTAACATTTTTTTTTCAACAAAGGTATTTTAACTACGCCCTCGGGGTACGGGTGTTTCTGAAAAAATGACCATCTGTAAGTATGTCGGGTTGGAATGCAGGGCCGCTGGATTCGAACTCGGGACCTTCACCTTACAGTGACGAGCGCAGTGTCAACGCCTTAACCGTTGCTGCCACTGACGCCCCCATTAGTTTTCCAGTTTTTATCGTTCTTAGCCTTTCTCTAATCCATTGGGATGTGGTGTGATCTTGTTCTCGAGAGAAGCCTTCATTGATTCATATGATCTCTTTCAGTGACGCACAGATTCCCATTATAATGTCTTCCAATGTCTCCTTCAGGTCACTGGTTAGCTGTTACAGAGCAGTTTCAGTTGATCCTCCTGTCGTGTATGAATGTTGACAGTGACGAAGTGGTTTATCTGTCAACATTGTCATTCTGATATTTTATCACCACCCCCGTCAGTGGCCTCAACAGCTTGTTGACACGTCGCTCATCACATTTAACGCTATAAGATAAAGGTCCCTGGTTGGAATGCAGGGTCGCTGGATTCGAATTCGACATACAGATGGGCCTTTTTAACAAACCAACAAATATATATATTGATCTGTAGGATTTGAGTACTGTTTGTCCGAGAGAGTCTTTCTTATATCCTTGGTATAAGTTGATCCTATGTTTAGGATTTCCAGTTTTTCTTTCGTATAAAATTCTAAGAGTGCCTCGTTTAATGTTGATCAGTGCTCCCCCAGGCTTCGCTATGTGCGTTAGCATAACATCCTATGAGTAGGGGAAGATTCTTCCTGCTGCAGTAGTCTGACAATCCCCGTAGTTCCTCTGGAGGCCTTAGGTTGCTGCTGCTGTTTAACTGCTTCTAGTTTCTTCCAAACTGTTAATGTTTCTATTTTGATGGGGACTACATCTCTTGACATGAAATTGAATTGTGCGGAGGTTTTTCATCCCACAATACCCTTCCATATTGTAAGGCAAACCTTTGATTTGCCCTTTCCGCAGCAAGAGGTGAGACTTGCCGTTGATACTGTCCAAGTACCTTTGGATGTTTAGCTGGGCCGTCAAGTCTTCCATGTTATTATTTTTTGATATCTCCTTGCCTAATCTTGATCTTCCAGATTAGCCTGGTCAATATACCTCTCAGCGTTTTGTAGGTAGTAACCTCTGAAGAAGTTAGCTCCTTTTAATCGATGTATCGAGGGGGGGTTATTAGGGGTGGGAGAGGAGGATTTCTCTCCTTTTGGTGTATCATACTCCAACTCCCTTCGTCAAACCTTTGCAGGTATCCTTCCGAGATGTCATCTAAGCCCCTCCGTCTTTACTCTTCTTTCCTCAATGCAACCCTTCATTTTGCTTTTACTGGAGAGGGCTAGACCATCTTGACAGTCTATAACTATCATTCCGAGGGGGCGTCGGTGGCCGCAGCGGTTAGGCGTTGACACGGCGCTCATCACTGTAAGATAAAGGTCCCGGGTTCGAACCCGACATACATACAAATGGGCTTTTTTTCAAAAACACAGGCACCCTGAGGGTTTATATGACCTCTGCTGTTGCGAACCCTCGTTAAAAAAATAAATTTAAAAAAACTATCATTCCTGGTATGAAGTGTGTTCTTCTATCTACAGTTTGGCTTCCTATCCTTTCGCAACTTCGTCTATGAGGGTTTTCTCTAGATGCGTCAGCTCTGTTTAGAGCTGAGCCAATTTATCATTAATATTAAGGCAGTCCTTTATGCAACAGTATCGGTTAAACTCCATCTCATTCCTGATTATTTAAATGGGAGGAGTACCTTAATTTTATCTGATTATACCATTACAACGCCAGAAGATGCCAACAGACAAAGACGACACATTCCTTTCACATTTGACGACAAAAATATAAAAGGGACCTGACTGAACAGAACAACACATCATCTGATCTGGTACAAATCTGAAACATGAAAGACAAAACCAGCCGTCTAGATGATTCAAGATGATGAAAAAAATCAATGTTTCCAATTAATCCTCTGGAAAGTAAAAATTCTGCCAGTTGTTAACAGATTTTAGCGAATCATATTTTTACATTAAATTTTGGTCGAGCAGAAAATAAATTTTATCATTTTAATTTTAATTAAATTGAGACTCGTTAGCACATAGTATAAAACGGCTTAAATTTTTTTTAAGTTTCTTGTCATTTATTGTATTAAAACTTTTAAATTAGTAAGAAGTAAGTAAGAATTTTAATTTTAAACTATCTGGACTTTATGAGCTGCTCATTACAGCTCAAAATGGGAGTAAAACAACAAGAACGGATCGTTGTGAGGTTAGTACCTTAAATTAACTCAACTTACAGATGAATGACACAAGGTTTTTGGGAGAAAAAGACCTTGTCCACAAATTGCTAACTGGGGCCCGAGGAAAGTGCAATGTATCCAGACTACTATGAGTAATTCAATCCCTATAAGCAATCAATTTCAACAATTTTCTGACACTGAGATGGCAAATACAGATAATACCGAAACAAAAGATAGGAAACCCACACCGATTTCCATTAAAAATTAATGAATAATGAATCCTCATTCACTTATAACAATTTTAGAAAACATAGGAGGCGTCAATTCCTTCATTATAAAAAACACCATTACCAAACAAAATTATATTAAAATTCTCTACCCCCCACAGTATTAATAGTGCAAGAATTAAGCGACAAAGGATATAAAATAGTTAATGACATTAACGCTCTATCACTGTTTAAACTACCATTGAACTCGTTTTTTGTACACGTAGACCGAAACACATGCACTGAAAAACTATGATATCACGACGCTTTTATACACCAAAATAAAAATTGAAGAACCTTTTAAGCGTAGAGAAATAATAATATATATTTTACGGAATTAATCCAATTTAAAAAAATATTTAAATATAGAAATATACAGAAATCGTGAGATGCCGTCAGGTGTGATATAGGTTTCAGAAAAACATTTTCTTTATCGTGCCAACGTTTCGATCTTTATGATATCATCTTCAGGGCCTGGTATTGTTTGAGAAATTGATTGTTTAAACATTGTTTAAATTTACCAAACACATGTAGGAAGTGGAAAAAAGTTAATTTATACAATGAAAAAAAAATTTTTTTATATTCAATCAAAGTATTTCAATCAAGTGTTCAATACTTTGATTGAATATAAATTTTTTTTTGCATTGTATAAATTTACTTTTTTCCACATCCTACATGTGTATGGTAAATTTAAACAATGTTTGTAAATTCCAGGCCCTGAAGATGATATCAATAAAGATTGAAACGTTGGCACGATAAAGAAAATGTTTTTCTGAAATCTACATCACACCAGACCGCATCTCACGATTTCTCAATAATCATCGACTAACGGTCACTAATC